ATAAATTGCGACTATTTTCAGCGACGTTATGTGTTTATATGAAGATTAAGAAAGCTTTTGTTTATTGAGATAAAGCTTCGTAAGAATATAAATGGCTTTTGAGCAGAATTATGGATGATTTCACTCGCCACAGTCTGTGGTATTTGACGCTTTCAGTGTTCTAGGTATCCCTACTGGGGATACCCAAAACACTAGGGATTTGGGTACGGGGGTACCCAAAACACGGGGATACCCAAATCACTGTGACAGCGGATCATGGTCTTCAGTCTTTCAGGAGACTGAAGGGGAATGGACATCCGTGAGAACGGAGGAAATTTTGGGCGTAAGGATTTCAGCATAATTATTTGCCTTCGGCCATGTGGACCCTCAGTTTTTAGACGATTTCATGTAAACAATTTCCAGACAAAACCGGATGACTTCTTCATCGTCGTTACCGAGTCGCAAATTAGGGCGAAACAAATTTCTTTCTTTTATTTTTTCTCAAAGTTTATTAATAATGGCGGCGAACTCGGAGATTATGTGAAGGGCTGTAGGCTAAGGAATCTTCGGGAAATACTATCTGAAAATCAATTTAATAAGGTGGCTCAAAACAATTTCCAACACTTTCCGAGACGTAGATTTGATGGCTCAGTTGATGCTACAATCATGGCATGAAAAAACTACCCAGTCATTGGTGAACACGTTGGTATCATTTTTGTGCCACAATAGGCTTCCATAGAAGCAGAATGCTCTGCTAAAACACCCTTGATTTTAACTTTAAGTACTTATACTTTAAAAACGACACGGTGAAACCCTTCTTATGATCGAATTATGATAATCAGGATAAAATACAAATTTTGGCAAAGTTTTAAAACGTTCTGTACTAGGATTCAGAGCCACATTAAATTTTGGAAAGTTTACCATAAGTACTTCTCTCCCGCGTGGGATGAGCTTGTCGTGCCTCGCGTGGGATGAGCTGGTGGCGCCTCGCGCGGGAACAGCTGGTGGCGTCTCGTGCGGGATGATTTTACTAGCCTTTGGGTTTCGTGTCCTAAGATTGAAGCCTTTTTAAATGCGAGGGATATTTTATCTCTTCATTGTTGTTGCGGAAACCATTGCAGTCAGCAATTGTCATAGTCTGGGCATTGTTTGTGTTTTTGTCATTGGTGATCCCAACAAGTCGCCTCAACAGTACTGAGTCACATGTTCTCGAGACATTTGTTCGCCAGTTTTCAAGGGTGTTTTACCATGTACTAAACCCTGTAAATAGGCCCTAGTTAATGACAATGGAAGAATCTTTCCTCCTGAAGAAACCGGCAAAGAGGCTGGTCTCTGCATCCACATACAATAAAGTACAAAAACATGACTTGCATCTGTTTATTTTGGCTTGAAGATGTTAGAATCAACTTTTTGCTAAGAAGCAACCGTAGGACAGGTCAACTCCGCCACCCAAACATTTGAACTTTTGACTGCGTGGTCAAGTAAC